AATAGATAGATAGATAGATAGATAGATAGATAGATAGATAGATAGATAGATAGATAGATAGATATCATACACAGACGTAACACAACGCTTAGATGGACAAGATTCTACTCACTCAAAAAGAGACATATTCTGCTCCTTGAAAGGCTCGTCCAACATGCCCTGGTGATATCTGAAAGGCAACAAAATAATAGAAAAAAGTGTCATTGATTGGGAGTTCGCTCTGGTTTATCTATTTGTTGTGTAACTGATGGGGCCAGAAAAATAAAAGATGTAAGTCACATTTTGATTACCCCCCCAAAAAAACAAAAAAACAAAACAAAAAACAACAACAACCAACCCCCCAGTAGTTTTTAGAGCGATGGCACACGTCAGGGGAGACTAAACAACATCACATTTGAAAGAAATGATTGGATGGCTTTGAATCAGTTTTTGTCCTTATAGATGACCGTCACCTGGTAGTACATCATGCTTTAATTCAAGAGCCTTAAAAAATAAATTCTTCTAAAACCCCCAAAGGTGACTTATACTTTAAATTTTTCTGAACCCTTCAACTGCTAATTCATGGGTTAAATGCCCCTTTCAATCCAGTAAATTCATAACAAGTGGGACCTCCAGATTCAGTGTGTGTCCCAAATAGGACAGAGCAAAATGAGTGGGTTGGTGGGGGGGGGGGGGAGAGAAAACCTGTGCTTCCAAATAAGTTTCAGTGCATAAGAACACAGTCCCATGGTTTTTTTCTGCATGACGAGACGTAGGACATGCTCACTTCAACCAAAAGTAGTACATTGTATACATACAGTTGAACCTGTCCAAAACGGTTACTCAAGGTCACATAGAAAAGGGACTGTGGCTTCTACGGACAGGGCCTGAGTTATGGCCAGTCTTGACATGAGACAGTAAACAGATGTTTTGATATCTGAAATCTTAATTTCATCTTTCTATTATAAATCCATCAACATTCCTATTCGTCTAAAGAACACCCTTGAATTGCTTGAGGGTATATACTCAGCCTGAGGACGGCTAAGCAGGGACATTTTGCAGTAAATGAGCGCTTTGAAAGGTTACAAACCACCTTGTCTAAAAATAACTGATCTTGGCCGCGTTGAACAGGGACCGCTATGGGCGGAAAAACGCAAGGGTGACCTGGAACAATGGCCGTTAGTACTGCTGACCCTTAAGGCATTTTTACTTCTCTTCAAGGTCACCACGAACAAAACAGGAGCAATTACAACAGCACAACAGCACAACAGCACAACAGCAAGACTACCGTAGTTGAATCAACAAAGAGCACATCTTCCACTGTACTGGCAATTGGGATAGCAACAACAATACCCCCCCCC